GTGTAGAAAAACACCTTTTCTTAAATTCTCTAGCCAAGCTCTCTCAAGAGCTGCCATCCCACTGACTCCTTCTCCTAAATTAGGCTCCCTGGGGCATCACACAGGGGCTAGAACTCAGAGACAAGGCCCCTACTAGTCCAGAAAGTAATTAAGTTCATGATATCATCACTCAACTTGTCCTAAAGAACACCGAAGCCCCAGGGGCAAGGGGCCAAGTTTCCTCAAATTACCATTCTTGTAGCTCATTTTGGCCTCTTGTCCCTGAGGGCCCAGGCATCAGCAAGGTGACACCCGCCAAATGGCAACCAAAATAGAGCTGAGCCCTGGGACCCAGGCTATCACCCAGAAAGGGGACATTTAGTCAAGGACATGGGGAAGCAGCGTCCCACATCCCTGCCTCTTCTCCCTCAACTGGAGTCTGCAGTTGTTCTCTTTTCCATCAGCCAAACTAAGTCAGGAATGAGACATGAGCCCCAACCGTGAGATGGAGGTGAGACATCTTCATATGGGTGGAACTGGGCATGAGTCTTAGGCATGGGAGAGTAGCAGAGCTTTGGAGCACAAGGGGTTCCTGAGAATACCCAATCCCCTTGCTCAGCAATATAAGCCAGTTTGCTAGGCATTTTGCTATAGGGCAGACTTGATTCTAATGGTGGGTAAGAAAGGGAATAACAAACGAACAAACATTCTGTCTTATGGCATTTGAATACACTGGAGCCCAGAGAGGTTGAGTGACTTGGCCAGGGTCACAGAGCAATGGCAAAGCTGAGGGTCAGAACTATGTCTTCTCCCACCTTCAGCCAAAGTGTTGTTAGAAATGTCAACTCCACTGGGCCCAGAAGCACAAAGGAGCCCTTGCATCATCCAATCTACTACCTCTCTCATCTCTAGAATCTCTTATTTTCAGGGAATCAGTTTGTTGAGAATGAAAACTCCTAAGGAGGTAGGCAATACAGTCTATGAGTGCCTATAGGAGGAAAATTGGAAGCTCACAGAGCAGATGACCCAGAAGAGCCTGAGGACTCTAAAGAGAATTGCAGTAATCCCCCCTTATCTGCGGTTTTACTTTCTACAGTTTCAGTTACCCTAGGTCAACCACAGTTTGAAAAGTTTAAGAGGAAAAATTCCAGAAATAATCAGTGCATGAATTTTAAATTGAACCCCACTGTTCTGAGTAGCATAATGAAAAAGCATGCCGTCCCCTTCCATCCCACCTGGGACTTGAATCTTCCCTTTGTCCAGTACATGCACACTGCCTGTGCCACCTACACCATTATACAATGTGATTGCACAGGAGCTGAGCACAGTGGCTTATGCCTGTAATCCCAGCATTTTGGGAGGCCGAGGCAGGTGGATCACTTGAGGCCAGGAGTTCGAGAGCAGCCTGGCCAACAGAGTGAAACCCCATCTTTACCAAAAATACAAAAATTAGCCAGGTGTGGTGGCAAAAGCCTGTAATCCCAGCTACTCAGGAGGCTGAGGCTGGACAGTTGCTTGAACTCGGGAGGTAGAGGCTGCAGTGAACCAAGATCACACCACTGAACTCCAGCCTGGGTAACAGAGGGAGACTCTGCCTAAAAAAAAAAAGTGGGCCAGGCACAGTGGCTCACGCCTATAATCCCAGCACTTTGGGAGGCCGAGGCGGGTGGATCACGAGGTCAAGAGATCGAGACCATCCTGGTCAACATGGTGAAACCCCGTCTCTACTAAAAATATAAAAATTAGCTGGGCATGGTGGCACACACCTGTAGTCCCAGCTAGGGAGGCTGAGGCAGAAGAATTGCTTGAACCCAGGAGGCAGAGGTTGCGGTGAGCCGAGATAGTGCCATTGCATTCCAGCCTGGGTAACAAGAGCAAAATTCTGTCTCCAAAAAAAAAAAAAAAAAAAAGTGATCGCATAGGAGAAAAACAAAAACATAGTAAACATAGGATTTGGTACTATCTATGGTTTCAGGCATCCACAGGGCATCTTGGAACATAGCCCCTGCAGATAAGGCTATGGTTATTGTGCTTCCTTCCCAAATGTCCCCTTTTGGGATAACTGTAAACATAAGAGACATGTGAAGAAAGATGGAGACATGTGAAAGGAGGAGAAAAAGCAAGACGAAGATGCTGCCAAAATGGGTGGACCACATTTGAAAACTTGCCCAAATAAACCAACTTTAAATAAATATGTTTATCTACCAGAAATGACATAAGGTCCAACCTAATACATTCTGAAGTATTTGTGGATGAAATGACACAATTATAGGATTCCCTTCAAGATAAACTAATGGGGGTGCCAGAAGAGACGTGCTGACAGATAAAACAACCTCAGTTAATCATTGTTGAACCAGGGGCTGAGTACCAAGGGGCCTTGTTATATTTATTCTTCTCTCTACTCTTGAATACATTTGAAATGTTCTATAATTAAAGCTTGAAAAAAATATGTTGCCAATATTTTAAGCATCACTGCTAATGTCACAGCCTAGAAAGAGAATTGTAAAAGGATACAAATGTTTTGCAGAGATTAATTTTGGTATCCATAATTATGCTAGTGCTTATTAGGCTTCCTGGAAGTCATTTGGCCAAACTGCTATTGAATGGGTCAGGGACTGGGAAAAGTACCCTCATCAAAATAATGGCAAAAAAATAACAACTCCTCAAAATAATGGCAAAAATGTTTCTCATCTTCACTTCTTTTCCAGGGGACCAATTTACCAGCTTCACCTCCTTCAAGGGGAGGAGGGTCCTCTGTGGAAGCCGCTAGAGGTGGGGAACATTTCTTCTCCCTTTAATTGCTTCAGGGTAATCTCTGAGCTGGGCTATTGGCCCCCTGGCTCCAGTGATGTCATCCACAAGTCGGCTTTGGAGATTTAAGCAATCCTTCTGCAGTGCCTGGCCCATCCCAAACTCAGCTGCTCAGATGCCTTCTCTAAATAGAAGCCTTGTTTAGTGATGCCTACCCTTTTGCCTGCCTACAGAAGCCAGGCTGAGAGGCCAAGCTGATTAGTTATGAGCTAATTTTTACCTGTGTCCACCTGTTGATGTCTATTTCCACAGGTCTTATAGTCATGTGGTGTGTGATATGACAGCCCGTCTTTGAAGCAGGGCTGTCCATGGTGTAGGGTGAGTATTACTGGCCATTCAGGACATGGGTTTAAGTGCTCTACAAATCTAGCATTAAGTAACATTGTCTCACACAGTGAAAAATTTCCCATATTTTGTTATCACTTCTCTCCAAATCTAGCAGGTTACTTTCTCCAAGGAGAAAGTCTCACTGAGCTAGAAATGTTGCCTCACACCTGTTATCCCAGCAAAGGTGGGTGGATCGCTTGAGCCCAGGAATTCGAGACCAGCCTGGGAAAGACAGTGAGACCACATCACTATGAAAAACCCAAAAATTAGCTGGGCATGATAGCATGCCCCTGTGGTGCCAGTTACTAAGGAGACTGAGGTGGGAGGATCACTTGAGCCTGGGAAGTTGAGGCTACAGTGAGCTGAGACTGTGCCACTGCACTCCAGCATGGGCAACAGGGCAAGACCCTGTCTCGAGAAAAAAAAAGTCTCTCTTTGTTGCCACTATGTCTTTATCACCTTTCTAACACACTTAAGCACTATTTTTAGCAAAAACCGAAAGTGGTGGCAGGCATCTACTAAATAGAATAATTTGGTTTGATTTTATCATATTTAATTCTGTAGCTTATTTTCTATTTATAAAAGTAATGCTGGTATCATGTATAAGCATAAGACATGATACCAAGAAAATGATGTTGGTTTCCATGAATAACCATAAGACAATGTAATAAAACATAAAGTAAACATAATTCAGATATTCTGAAAATTGTGAAGAAATAGATTAAACACAAAGCTAATGCAGTTTGTGTGGGTCCTTCCTGAAGCTGTCCCAGCACTGCTCAATACAAGAAATAGCCTACAGGAAAAAAAAAAGCCAGAGTGAAAAGAGAAGGCAACCTTACTTGATTGGGATTAACTTTTCAAATTCTAAAAAGCATAGGACCACATGAATACATTTTGTATGTTTTTTTCTAAAAAAGGGCTCCCTCCTTAACCTGAGAGCTTCAGGAGTCATCCTTGTCTTTCTCCTCAAATCTCATTTATCATCTCCATCCTTCATAGCTATAACCATCTTTATCATTACCATCACAATCACCATGCTTATTTTCACTGCCATCATCTTCACCATCATCAGTGTCATAACTGTCATCACCACCATATCATTATAACCATTATCATCGCCAACATCATCATCCAGTGTCATCATCATCATCTCCCCATCATCAATGTCACACTGTCATCATCACCACCATTATCATCATCAACATCGTAAATGTCATCACTGTCACCACCACCACCATCACTACCTTAACCATCATCATCACTGTCATCATCGTCATCATCATTATTATCACCATCAATAGCCAGTGGTATTTACTGAATGCTTCTTATGAATGAGACATTGTGCTTCACCTCCATTTCAGTTATTTCAATGAATCCCTCACAAGCAGAGATGCTATTATCCAGTCTATCTTACAGAGGATGAAACAGAGTTGGAGAGGTTAAATAAACTGCCCATATTTACACACCAGGTAAGCAGCAGGTTTGGGATTTGAACCCTGGTCTGTGGTTAGAGTCCAAGCTATTAATCATTACACTTTCCTGCCTTTGGTTTAATCACTGACCTAGCCTAGACTTTCAGAATTACTTTCCCTTACTTCAATACTATCTAACCAACCTGCTGTACTCCTATCTCCTCCTTCTCATATGGAAACTCAGTTGTTCTTTCTAAGCCACCAGCATAGTCTATGTAACACTCAAATCTTTCCCCACCTAAAATCTTTCAAAGGGGCTTCACCCACTAGATATTATAAACTCTTTGTACCTATTAGGTTTTCTTGATGGAAAGCAACAAGGAAAACAGTAATTTTTTTTTTTTTTCTTGAGATGGAGTTTCACTCTTGTTATCCAGGCTGGAATGCAATGGCGCGATCTTGGCTCACCTCAACCTCCGCCTCCTGGGTTCAAGCAATTTTCCTGCTTCAGCCTCCCGAGTAGCTGGGAATACAGGCGCGCACCACCATGTTGACCAGGATGGTCTCAATCTCTTGACCTCGTGATCCACCCGCCTCGGCCTCCCAAAGTGCTGGGATTACAGGCGTGAGCCACCATGCCCGGCCTGGAAAACAGTAATTTAAGAAAGGAAAAAAGACAAGGACAGAGAATTTATTGGAAGGATCCCAGGTAGCTCACTTGAGCTGAGCCTGAAACCTAAGATGTGGGGAGTACTTATCATAAGTTTATTGAGTGAATAAATGAATGAAAAAATAAGTGAAGGAAGGGGGCAGGCTTGGTGGACCCCAGTGGTTTCTAAGCAGAACTACAGAAGTCCACAAAATTGCTTCAGAAATTTGTAGTGGATGAGAATCTGGGTCACACCTACAGCCTCTGACTACTTCCATCTGTTTATGAATTGAGAAGATTTGCATAGCCAGGCACAGTGGCTGATGCCTCATAATCCTAGTACTTTGCAAGACTGAAACGGATGGATCACCTGAGTTCAGGAGTTTGTGACCAGGCTGGGCAACGTGATGAAACCCCATCTCTACTAAAAATACAAAAAATTATCTCAGCATGGTGGCACACACCCGTGGTCCCAGCTACACAAGAGGCTGAGGTGGGAGGATCACTTGAGCCTGGGAGGTAGTGGTTGCAGTGAGCTGAAATGGCACCACTGCGCTTCAACCTGAGTGACAGAGTGGGACTCCCATCTCAAAAAACAAAAAAGAAGAAGATGCATTTAAGACACATTTTCTAAGGGAGCTTACTTCTTTAAAATTATGCATAAAATAAGTAAAGCACTAGCCTGGAATCTGAAGATATGCATTGTTTTCCTGGTTTTACCACTCACCAAGTGGATGCTTTGGGGCTAGACATTGCCCCTCTCTCAGCCTCAGTTTCCACATCTATAAGATGGTCACATCCAGCAACTCTAAATTGCCCAGACTCAGGGAGAAGAGCAATCCAAGGTGACTGCATAAACACTGGATAAGCCCAAACACAAGCCCTGAAGCTCCACTTTATTAATTGCATTTTTAAAGTTAGTATTTAAATGAGCTATACCCAGTCACAGGAAATGGTGAGGCTCCAGGCTAGTGACGGGGAGAAGGCCTTATTCAGGTTTCCATAGCTACTACTAATAATCCACTAAATGCATTTCCAGCATCAGGATAAGTAGGAGGAACATTAATATTAAAATGGGTAGGAGTTGGGATTTATCCACCATCCAGTAAGTGCATAATGCAATAGAACATAAATTTTGGACAGATTTGTGTGTGTGTGCATGTATGTGTGCACACTGTGTACATGGGTAAATGTATGCTCAATGGAAAATGCCCAAGAAAACTTTTCCAACATTAACCCACACAGAGGAGGAAACTGAGACTCAGAGAGGCTAAGTTTTCACTTACTTTACTACTGTTGACTTTGTACCAATGGTCTCTACAGGCCAGTGTCTCCAGGTCTCTATATCTGGAAAGTGCTTACCCTTCTGATATGGTTTGGCTGTAGGTCCCCACCCAAATCTTATCTTGAATTGCACTCCCACAATTCCCAAATGTTGTGGGAGGGACCCGGTGAGAGATAATTTGAATCATGGGGGTGGTCTCCCTCATACTGTTCTCGTGGTAGTGAATAAGTTTCATGAGAGCTGATGGTTTTATCAGGGGGTTCTGTTTTTGCATTTTCCTCACTTTCTCTTGCCACCACCATGTAAGAAGTGCCCTTCACCTCCCACCATGACTCTGAGGCTTCCCCAGCCATGTGGAACTGTAAGTCCAACAAAACCTCTTTTTCTTCCCAGTCTTGGGTATGTCTTTATCAGCAGTGTGAAAACAGACTAATACACCTTCCATCAACATCCTATACAGAAATCCTTTCTAGATCACACCCTGCTCACTGTCCCTTCAAAGGGATCTGGCTGCCCAGGAAGTCTCTGGGAGGAAGATGTGGTGCCCTCTGAATTTGTGTGAGACAGACACTGATGTGTTCATCCACATGAACTCAACTTACGTGTTTTCACTTTAAGTGGGTTGACACCAACATAACGTCAACCTGCCAAAACTCTCCCGTGCTCTATGGACACAAGCCCAAGGTCATCACATCACTTCCCAGGGAGTGGTGGAATTGGCTCCAGAGGGGAGAAACATCTGGAAAGTACAAAATAGGCACACATTACTCTTGGAACCCTCATGCACAATGTGAGCTCACTAACTGGCATGGTGCTCACCTTTAAGACCAATGGAAGTGAAACCTGGAAGCAAGATGAGGCCTGGGGGAGGGGCTGGGATCATGAGTGGATCAGTGCCTAGAAGCAAGGCCCTACCAAACTCCACACACTGTCCTAGGGGACTGGCATCGATCGAATCTCTGAAACTGAGACTTTCAGCAAAACAACATGTAACAAAACCAATTTGACCATGGGCTAATTGATAAAAACAAGAGTTAAGTTCCTATGGCACAATTCTGGTCACAAAAACATTACCAGCTTCTAAAGGAAAATCCCAAAACATTCTAAGAGCAAACATTGAAATAAATGTAAGCTACACATACATCTAAGAGATATTAATAAAAACAAGAGAATTATTTACTCAACTTTTGGTGAATCAGTGAGTTAAATCGAGGAATAAATATATGCAAAGCTAACACTGTCAGAAGCACCTCCTATCACCACTCAGTTCAAACACCAGGAATCACAAATACAGTGGCTCACTGAGTGCTTTTGTACCAAATAGTTAATTGTTGCGCATTTGTAAGATTATTGTGAACTTTATGAATTATTATTTTACAATAATTTGTGTTCATTCATTTATTCATTTTTTAACTTGCTTATTCCAGGTCAGGGTCGTGGGTGGCCAGAGCCTATTCCCGCAGCTCAGGGCATAAGGCGGGAACCCACCCTGGCCAGGACACCATCCTACCTCGGGGCACGTTCACTCACACACCCATACAGACTCACACTGGGATAACTGAGGACGCCCATTCACCTACAGCATATCCTTAGGATGTGGGATGAGACTGGGATACCCAGAGAAAACCTTCACAGACACCAGGGAACATGCAAACTCCATACACACACAGCAGCCCCAACCGGGAATGGATTTTTTTCATCAACATGACAACAAGACAGTGTTGAACAAAAGGACCATATCTGAGGACTTTCTGTATGAATGTCCTAGAAAGCAAGTCATCAATATTTTTTAGGACTGAAAAAAAATGCTCATCTTTTCTCTCATGCTATAATTCCACTTTCAGAACTAAATGAAGGAAATAATCGTACATGAGCACAAACATGTAAGTACAGGGTTTGTATACATTAGTTACATGCATATATAAATATGTATCATTAACTATAATAGCAAAAAATTAAAAATCAGAGACAAAAAGAAAAAAGTAAATGCCATTCTTATGGGAATGATTATGAGTTGGGTATATAAACCAATTATGGCAATCTATGTGATAAAAAAATAGGAAGCTCTAAAAATCATATTTACAAAGAATATTTATTCATAATGCTAAGAAAAAGAAGTATAAAACAAAGCTAAAAGAAAGGAATGATTCCAGCGCTATTGAAGAAAAAAGCCTGGAAGGAAATATGGTAACTATGAGTTATGTCTAGGTGGTAAGATCCTGGGTGATTTTTACTTTATGCCATATTTTTAAAATATTTTGTAATAAATATAAATTACTTTTGTGATCAGAAAAACAGAGACATTTTTTCAATCTCAGCACCCCAGAACCCTCCTGGCTGGCTTGCCTGGACATGGTCTGTAAACACGGGCTCAGCAGCAGATCTCGGATCAAGGCCTGTTTTCGTGTTTCTATGGCTCTCTCAATGCTGCTGCCTACTTGACACGTGACCTTGAACCTCATAACCTCAGTTTCCACAGCAGTGAAATGGTCACATCAGTTGTTCTCATTCCTGTGTCTTGAGATCCTAGTTGTTCCTGGTCTCAACCAATGAAGGGCCTCTCCATGATGGCCTAAGGGGCCCCAGCCTGAGTGAGCTCCTGGGGCTGCTCTGATATTTTGAGTCTCAAAGTTTGGAGCTGTAAATGGCAATGGCTTCAAGGGGCAGCCGGGCTGCTGGGATATCCCTGGAGAGCCCCCTAATGTGTTTGCTTTAACCTGCAGGACAGCTCTTCCCTGGTGTGAACTTGCTGCTCAGCCCCTCACCCAGGACCCAGAACCCCAAGCCCGAGACCGGTTTCCACGAGTAAGGCACTCACACCAAGTGGGTCTGTCAGAGTCCTGGCAGGAAACAGCCAGCACACTCAAACCAGGATTATCCGGGGAGTGTTCAATGGAGGGAAATTTTGTCGAGGTGTGGGCAACGCTTATAGAAACCCCAAGGGATTGTGTGGCTCCCTGGAGCTAGTGCCAGTGGGGACCAAGGAGGGAGCAGCTTCAGGAACCAGGAGACAGAAAAGGCTGTGAAGAAAGACCGCTCCACCACAGCTAAGGTCTTCTGTCGAGAGACCCAACCAGCCCAAGGCAATGCAGCAGTTGTGGGGTAGGGGAACCAGTATCCTCAGCCTCTCTTCTCGTCCAGCCTCACTCTTCTCCCTCCCAGGCTTCAGTGAAAACTCCCTTTTGGCAAAGCCAAGTAAAGCCCTTATCTTCAGTAGTTCAGGCTGCTACAGAAGAATACCATAGACTAGGTGGCTTATAAACAACAGAAATTTGTTTCTCCCAGTCTGGAGGCTGGAAGTCCAAGATCAAGGTGCTGGCAGACCCGGTGTCTAGTAAGGGCCTGCTTCCTGGTTTGCAGACAGCCATCTTCTTGTTGTTTCCCCATTTGGTGGAGAGCAGAGGGCAAGTAAAACCCCCTGTGTCTCTTCTTGTAAGGGCGCTAATCCCCTTCATGAAGGATCCACCCGCATGACCTGATTACTTCCCAAAGAGCCTTCATATTGAGGGCTAGGATTTCAACCTATGAATTCTGAGGGGACACATTCAGTGCATTGTGCTCCCCATTGGCCAAACCCTCAAAAAAAGGCAGAGGACAAGGAGGTCCATGCAGGACAGCTGCCTAGGGCCCACTCTAGAGTGGAGAAGGGTCCAGAGAGGATCCAGAGAAGCAAAAAGAAGAGATTCATCCATCAAGCATTTGAGGATTACTTAACAGTTTCCCCTGACAATGCCAGGGTCACACTGCACCCAAGGGTCCATGTCACCCTGCACCCAAGATCTCCCTTGCAAGTTCTCCACCCGGCACATGAGTATTCCCAGGTCTTTCTCTGCAGTGCTGGTTTTCTCCCTTTCTCCTGCCACTCCTCCACACAGCGGTCAGTTTGACCAATCCAACCACTCCCTCCCCGATGTCAAATTTATCTGTCCTTAATTATGCAGAGTAATTTAGAGAGCATCCTGCCCTCTGCTCCAGAGGATCACCACGATGTCTCTTCCCAGCCATGCAGTGCTGTCCTGAGAGGCAATCTACCAAATAGCTTTCTCATCTCATCTCACATTTTCTGCATTCACATTGTACAACTCAAACTAATTATTAGCTGTAAAACCTTGTTTGAGGAGTGTTGCAAAAAATAATTTTCCCTAACTGATCTGGATAAACAAGTGTCTGTCAATATAAATCCAATCTCTTCGCAGACGGTTCACTGCATCTGCAGCTATCTGCTTCAGGGCAGAACTTAAGGAGGATTTTCTGCAGCTGTAAGGGGCGGCCACTGAGTAGATCCTTCTTTGAGAAAACTTTATCTGAGCCAAGCTGGAGAAATGAGAATAACCAGATGCTTTGAGCCAGGAGGATGCTCACGTTTGTATAATCAGATGGAATCTGTTCCCCTGCAAGAATTTGGACTCCCTGTGTCCACCAATGACCACAGAACCAAAGCCACCTGCCCACTGCTGCCTAAAGGCAGACCACACTGGCTTCTGCAGCCCAGCCTCTCCTCATCCACTCTCTCTTTCTCAGGGGAGAGTCTGCATTCTGTACCACCTAGAGAGACCAAGTCCCTTAGAAATGATAGGCATCTTGTCTTCCTCAGCAGCCTCCTCAACTGCAAGGCAGGGCAATCATCAGTGGTTGCTGGGGGCACAGGGAAGGAAGGAAAGTTGAGAGCTTGATTGTCCTGCCCAGCTTCAGAAAGAACTCAGGCCAGTGTAGACAGAGAATCTCCATCTGAGCCCTTGCATCCTCAGAGGAAATCCTCCACCCTGGTTTCTTATCAAGTTCATGTCTGATATTGAACAGGTCCACGTTTGCAGTCTTACGAGGAAAGCAGTTGGCTGGGGACACCCAGTGTCCAGTGTCTGCATAAACACTGCCCTGGGTGTCAGTTGTTTTGCTGCCAGGATTCCCCGCCACTTCTAGAAATAGCACCTGAATTTTCCTGCTGGAAGTAAGGTGTGCCCTCTCCTCATCCAGGATGTTTTGATGGGCAGGTCCCATTCCCTGGATCCAGGCCCAGATAATCAGCTTCTCTCAGCACAGGGCCACAGAGAGTGGTTTTAAGCTGGCTCAAGCCAGGGTGTTTGGTCCAAGGAGTCTCAGTCCTGGGACTTTTTCTAGAGCAACCAGGAAAGTCATGAGCTCTTGGCTGCAGGAATGCTAAGAGAGTCACAGTCAGCCTGGAACTAAGGGTATACCTCTTGTCTTTAGCAAGATAGGGAACCCTATGTGAGAGGTAGAGAGAAACATGTTCAACAGCATAGTCTGAACCTCTGGTAATACCCTAGCCCAGAGCCACAACTACACCAGACTTCTCAGTTCTGTATGCCAGTAAACTGCTTCACCCAGGGTGGGCTGGGTTTTTGTTACTTGCAACCAAGTGTCCTAATACCCATGTGTACATCTATGTTTCCTTTCTGCTGTTTCACTATTTGTTGGTGGGGTCAGAGACATCTGTCCTCTGTACCCCTGCATACCTCCCTCTGTCTGTCTCTGAATGTCTGCCAGTCTTGAGCCACCTGGGTGTGGGGAGGTGAGAGGTCAGGTTCAGCAACACCATGGACAGGTGACTGCCTGCTGACAGGTCTGAGGTGAAAGTGTGGGACTCAGAGGCTGCAGGGTGCAGTGCTGGGAGACCCACTCAGAAGGTCTGCACCTGGTCTGTGCAGTGAAAGGGAGGCAGCACTGGGTTCTAAGTCATGGCAAGTTCACTGGGATGCACCGATTTATAAGACAGGGTGGAGGCCAGAGTGAGAGGCTAGCACTCATGCACAGCTGGGGCTGCCAGGGTAACCAGGGAGGTGAGGACAGAGAAGGAAGAAGCCTGCTCTGTGAAGGCATTGGGTGCTTCTTGGCACACACCTCTGGCTTTAAAAGGACTCTTTCTTTATTTTCATACTGGTAGCACTCACCTCTAGTCCCAGCTACTCAGGAGGCTGAGGCAGGAGGATTGCTTGAGCCCAGGAGTTTGAGGCTGCAGTGAGCCCTGATTGTGTCATTGCACTTCAGCCTGGACAAGAGTGAAACTCTATCTAAAAAAAAAAAAAAAAAAGAATTAATAGTAATAAGAATTCTTCAGTATTTAGTATATAATATGGTTTAGCTGTGTCCCCAACCAAATCTCACCTTGAACAGTAATAAACCCTACATGTCAATGGCAGGGTCAGGTGAAAGATAATCGATTCATGGGGGCAGTTTCCCCATACTCTTCTGGTGGTAGTGAACAAGTGTCACCATATCTGTTGGTTTTATAAATGGAAGTTCCCCCAACACACCCCCTCTTGCCTGCTGCCATGGAAGACATGTTTTGCTTCCCCTTTGCCTTCTGCCATGATTGTGAGGTCTCCCCAACCATGTGGAACTCTGAGTCAATTAAACCTCTTTCCTTTATAAATTACCCAGTCTCAGTTATGACTTTATTACCTGTATGAGAACAGACTAATACAGCATGTGCTGGGCTGTGTTCCAAGGGCCTTCCATTAATTACATATCACTAATCCTCACAACAGGTCTGGGAGGAGTAGGTTCTCTTAATGCCATCATTTTGCAGGTAAGCAGACTAAGTTCACAGAGATGGATGAGATGGCCTTGGGACAAGGAAGGGACTTAGCTCAGATTTATTCAAAGGCAAAATTATTTTACAATTGATGACATACATGTTGTTTGTGTACTACATACATATCTTGCATAATAGCATTATAAGTAATTCTAGTCCCACAGTGACTGGCAGAGGGGAGGCTCACCCAGGGTTCTATTGGTCATCTTGCCCTGGGCAGTGATCACATATAGGAAGCCATGGATAGTACCCTTGCTCCCCTTCCAAAATGAAGACATACTACTCTCAGGTGTGGCTAAAGAGGTTACCTGGGCCCAGTATGAGGAAATGGCCCCCATGATTCAATTATCTCCACCTGGCCCCACCCTCAACAGGAGGAGATTATTATTATTCAAGGTGAGATTTGGGTGGGGACATAGCCAAACCATATCACATACGAAGTACTCAATCATTATTATTACTATTAATCCTTTTTCTTTTCTTTTTTTTTTTTTCTTTGAGATAGGGTTTCACTCTGTTGTCCAGGCTGAAGTGCAATGGCACAATTACCAATTACTTGCAAAGAGGCCAAGCTGGCCTTGGCAGCAAAGCAACCTGGGGCCAAAACTCCTGCTGAAGAACAACCCACTTCCACCCAGCAGCTGCAGGGCTGGGGCCTCCCAACCGCAGCCCCAGGTGGCCAAGCTGCTCTCCTTACCTAGCCTCCTCTGACAGTTGCTGGTGGTGAAGAAGGGAGCCTGCTGTCACTGTCAGCTGATCTGCACATTTGTCCCCTGGATGCCACTGAGGATAACACACACACAAGCACACCATCTATACTGGCACATTGCATTTCCAACCAGAATTTAAAACCAGGCAGTGTCCTGGCTCTTCGCTTCCCGGCTCTGTGACTTTGGGCAAGTGATTGAAACTCTGGGCTTCCATCTCTTCATCTGTAAAATGGAAATTAAAAACAGTCCCTCCTTTGTAAGATTGTTTTGAAGACTTAGGGTCTGGGTCTGACACTTGAAAAATGGTTAGAATAGTGCCTGGCACTTGGGAAAAGCTTAATAAATGTTTGCCATTATTAGTACCTGAAGGGATCCCTTTAAATAAAAAGCAAGGAACAGGGAGGGGGTCATGGCGCCCCCTAAAGGTAGGTGAGAGGAGTCACTCAGGGCTTTGCAGTATGACAAGGGGGGAAAGAGACACAGGCTCTGTCAGTAGAACAAAGTCTAAATGTACTGGGGTGTCCTGAAGGGGGTCAGGGAGGGCTGTTTGAACCCTTAAAGCAGCTTTGGTTTCTTTTGGGTGTCTGGGGGAATCTGGAAGAAACAAGGAAGAAATGCAGCATCTTCTCTAGGAGCCCAGGACGCCATCAGTACTGACAAGGATCAGAGAAGGATGCCCGATCCCTAGAGTGAGTGGCAGGGCAGAAGATAAGCAGGCAGCAGCTGGGCCACCTTCACGAGCAAGGCAGAGTACTTGGGCCACTGTGGAGAGCAGGGCCAAGGCTGCCACCCAGCTCCCAGGGAGCCCAGCAGCCAAGCACACCCACTGTCAAAGCCTGTAACATTCAAGACTCAAAGCGTCACCCTCCCCATTTCACAGATGTGGAAACTGAGGCCCTGGGAGGTTACCTGTGGCTCCAGAAAAGTCAAGCAGAAGCAACTGATTGTTTACCATATCTGATCATTACATAGGAAGAAAATGCTTTGAGATGAAAGAGCAGGGTTCAGAAAGCACTGGGATTCCAGGGGCTGGCTCATGGCTTTCTGAGACCTCAGACAGGCAGGCACATGAGTTTGAAAGGCAAGGAAGACATCAGGAGGGAGAGGGCCCTTTAACAAAGAGTTAAGAGGGGTGATCTGGATCCAAATGTCATCTCTTCTGAGAGGCCTTCACTACACCCTACAAAGGCAAAGTAATGCCCATCAAACCTTCACAACCCCTAATTCCATTCATCCCTGGCATGTTCTGGGCTGGACCCACAGTTGTGACTAGAACTCAACCCTTCGTTCCTTAAAGGATACAAATCCTGGGAGGTACAGTGGCCGTAGGCAGGGCTATGTCCCAGAACAGAGCCTGAGCCAAGGCTTTCAGCGGGGGCGGTTTATTTGGATGGGGATCCCACAGACACAGATGGGACAGCCACAGTTACTGCTGAGAGCACCTGGAGCTTAGTCCCTCTGGGGAACACTAAGAGGCACTCTAGAGCAGCCCTCCCTGACTGCTCCACCTGGAGTGAATCAACCTCCCACTCTCCGGTCCTTGGCTAAGGGCTGCTCCTAGGGGCACCTCCTCCAGCACTTCCCACTGCCAGGCACAGTTAGCAAGAGGATGACTTCAGATGGGGCTCAGGGTCTGGCAGCACAGCCCCATCAGAGCACTCCCAGGAACGAGCAGCGAAGACACAGGGCTGTGTGGCTCTCACCCCTGAGTCGGTCTCATGTCTGCTTCCCCCATCAACCAGGGAGCACAAAGGCTCTGCCCTGGCTGCCCATGCCCAAAACCCTGTTTCTCCCCTAGACCTGAGACCTTGACTTAATTTCTCTGGGCCTCAGTTTCCCCTCTGTCAAGTGGAGGGAATAATAATATCTCATTCACAGGACTCATATCTTGACACCTGTAAAGAGCTGAGAACAGCACCTGACACATGGGTGGTATTCTAGAAACATCTGCCACTCCCTTAAAGACCAAGAATCCTCAAGGCAAGATCAGTGAGGGATTCAACTTCATCTCTCCCATGCCTGGCCTAGTTAGTGCCCGGCAGAGAAGAGGCTCAGTTCAAGTCTGATGAATGAATGAATGAATGAATGAACGAATGAATGAATTGGATTCAGGAGCTAACATGTTAACCTAGATAATGAACTTCCAGTGCCTGGCTTTCTCAAAGTCACTGTAGTTTTCTGTGGCATCCTTCCTTAGGGAAGATAAAACACTTTAACTGCAGCCTACAAATAATAGAAGATATACTAAATCAGTTTCTGTAGAAACTTCCTGAGGCCACCTCGAGCTTCCTGAGGGGTCTGGTCCTGTAAAGGGGCTCCATGGCCCAGGGGCTGCTGAGGGGAAATTGGATGTGGGTGTTGCAGTCATTGGAACTCACTCCAGGGGGAGAAATGGCTCCAGCTCCGAGGTTTCATGTGCGAGTGCCTGCTGCTCCCTCGTGGACAGAGTGAAAAGCTGCGGGAAGCCTTGGAAACCATTAAGGTTGTCTTTTTCACTCGTAATAAGAAAAAATACAGAGGCAGTGCTTCTGATTGCAAAGCACTTTCACATTCAGTGGCTTGTGTGAGCTTTAAAACAACCATGCAAGGTAGCTAACGATTATCTCCATTTCACACATGAAAAAAAAAATGAGGCTTTTAGCTCCCATGGTGAGCTAAAAAAATGACACAAGGCTGAGAGTTCTGATACCAAAGCTCAACAATTTGGATTCTAAATGCCAAATCCTCTTCTGACCATGCATAAGAATCTTCCGAGGACGCTGGGTAAAAGTACAGAATCTCAGGCACCATTACCCCAAATACCTAAGCGCGACTGAGAATCTATATTCTGATGAGCTTTCTAGGTAAGGTCAGTGCAGTCAGGTTCCAATACACAGACTGGCATTTGGAAAGCACCACCTTCATCACATGGCCTCAGAGTCTGTGTGTGGATACCCCTGTCCCTCCAGCCCCCTGCCTGAAGGTTTGACCTCCCTCCCAGCAGGTGCCTCTCTCTCCCTGTGTCCCCTCACATAACATCTAACATGGCTTCAGAATGTGCATGCTATGCATACTGTGTGCACGATTGCACTGAGTCTTCACAGCAAACCCATCACCAGGTCCAGGCAAGCAGAGGTGCCCGAGAGTCCACTGAGTGACATGCAGTGGAGCCAAGATATGAACCCCAGGCTGTGACCATGGAAGCCACATTGGGTAACCTGATGTCCCACTGTGCTGTTTCCTGTAAAAAATATTGCCATCCTGTGTCCCAGACCCCTGAAAGTCCTACCTTATGGTACAGAAACTATCACTGAAATGACCCTAACTAACCTGACCTAAAACATTCATGCCCCCCCAACCCCCATTCCCAACATTCTATATCTTTCTTTTAGCTGGAAGTTTCAATTCCATCAGCTGATGAGAAAGAAGGAAAGAAATGCCCCAGGTTCAAAGATGCAAAAATAAGCAGCAACATGTTTCTGCAGCTTGGAGATCAGGACTGAGGGAGCGGCCTCTGAATCTGGATGCCCCAGGGCCCATCTGCTCTAGATAAAGAAGGGAAAAACTGTCCACTGCCCAGGGTACCCCTCAACAGGGCTTTACAGGGCTTTTCTCCTCATTGCATTTGTCATTCTGAGAAATAAGCAGAAAGTTAGGTTCTGCCAAGGTTTTAATTCTTTTTTAAAAAAACAAAGAAAGAAAATAAAACTTTTGGGAGTGTTCTGTGATCTATTAGAGATGTAGCTTATCCCCCAGACTCACAGATGTGGTGGCAGGGTGGCTCTGAGTGGCTCTGCTCCGGCCATGTTCGGCTGGGTTCACCTCAAGGTGAGCAGGGCCCAGGTGCTCAGGCAGGGAAGGGTTCTGGGTCCCCACCCACACCCACAGCAGTCCCACTTGATTCTTTTAATATATCAGTGAGAAGTAAACAGTGCCATAGGAAAGAAAAGGAAATAGATCTAACCCCATTCTTCACAGTGCAAGAAAGAGACCTAAGAGGTGAAAGATCTTGCTCAGGATTGCACAGCTGGTAGAGGCCAGGCAGGAATCAAAATCCATTGTATTAAATCAGCATCCTGCACTTTTATTCAGGCATTCAGTCATGCTTGCTGGTGTTTATTGACAGGCACCAATGGGAGAGGCAGATACAAGTCATATCTGCAACAAATACAAAAATGCATGTGCAATATGGCAAACACAGGTAAAGTTGCTGCTAAGATGCAAGCCCTGAAGGAAGGCCTCAGGATCACACCTGAATAAAGGGCAAGGGAAGCCTCCCCAGGTAAAGGATCTGAGTACTGAAAGGAGCTGAGGGATGAAAAGAGAGGCACCGGCAGGGAAGCCACATCTCTCCTATAAGCAGCCACTGCGGTGCAGGAGGCCCAGCTCACCAGCCCCCCAGGAGAGGCCTGGGACCAGCAGCCAAGTGCTGACCCACCAAAGAGCTCAATTTAGGGAGAACAGGACCCTTCCAAGTGCTCAGCACCTCCTCATGCTGAGCTCTGCATGCCTGATCTCTTTTCATCTCTTCAACCCATCCTGCAAAGCAAGTGCTATCATCCCTATCTCACAGATGAGGAAACTGAGGGTTAACCAGTCGACATGAATCGCTCATCTCAGAACTGAAAATGACCAGGGCCAGAATTTGAACCTGAGTGTGTCTGATTCCCAAACCCATACATTCTCTTTCCACTACGCTAGACCTTTTAATGCAAACAAAAAGCAGAGAAAGTGGAAATATGAATGTAAACTGACAGAATCCAAGCTGCTATATCACTTGGGCTGTTTGCCCTGACTGAAAAAACAGTTTTTGCATCATTTCCCATTTACAGGTCTGCCTGTGAACTAGAAATTGAAGTCCGCCATGTTACAACAAGGTGATCACATGCTGAGGGCCAGGGTGTTGGGAACCACGAGAATGACAGGGGCCTGGAAGGAAGGGGAGGAAACCTAGATGGGGGAGAGAAGTTCTTCCTGTTTTCAAAGTAGTGACTCTCCCAACTGGAAAACACACACATACACACCACACAAACTCACACACTTACACCCACACATACACCACCATACACACATTCCGGGAACACATGCCTACCCTGAGCCCTGCAGGAAAGAAGCCCAAGGTCAGTCCAAATTTGTATCTGTAATAACCAGAGCACAGAAGCATAAAAGCCCTGAAACCCCAACACCTACAGGGAAAGGAGATGCAGGGCTCAGCAGGGAAAGGACCCAGCCCCAATCACTGCTCTTTGGTATAAGATGTCACTTGGGAAAAAGCACACAGAAAACTCCAGAATGCCATCCTGAATGAACCCAGCCTTTTTGTCTGCCCCTCCAGCGGACAGGTGATGTTTCTGCCTGCAGAGCTTCCAGTCCTCTTTCAGATTTGGTCTGGGTTGACTGATCTTAGCTTGGGGGAGGGTGTGGTAATGTGACCTGGGTTGGCCAATGCAATCACTGTATTCCCTGGCCAGTGACTGGCTCAAGGTTGGGCATGTGACCCAGACCAAGCCACATGTGACCCAGACCAAGCCACATGTGACCCAGACCAAGCCACATGTGACCCCCTAGAGCCTTCCCTGGGACTTTCCATGGAAGTTAATTAACAAACAAACTCGTAGCATTCTTTTTCCTGGGTTCCCTGAGTTCATAGGATGAAATTCTAGAGCTACTAGTAGCTGTGTCACTACCAAGGCAGGTAAAGCCTGCCTGAGAACAAAAGCAAAAGAGAGAAATGCTTAGAGGACAGGAGAAGACAGGAGGGCAGGGAAGATCCTGTTGAAATGAAATTATTCAAATCCCTGGGTCCAGCTATACCTGAAGCTGGTAAACTTGATCAGGGTGAAAGAGCTCATCAATGACCTTTTTCCTATTTAAGTCCATTTGAGTTTCTGTCATTTGTAACCACTAGTCTTAGGCCTTTTCATCCGGTACAGCTACCTGACTCTTATATTGAGTCTTTTATTTTCTTCTGTTTACATATATTACCTCCTATTATCCTGCAGACTTAGAAGAGAGACCTCAGATCTTTGTGAAACCCTCCTTAAGCCCAGCAGGGCTCTGGCCACCTAGCAGAGACCCTGTGACTGTTGCTGACTGCTGAAGATTAGAGCTCACATTCCCCTTTGACAGAGCAATAAAGAAAAGGCCAACCACATGGGTCTAAAGTTATTCTAAAACAAAATGGAATCAAGCTCAGAGCCACAGTCTATGGTGGCAAGTTTTAGGATTAGAGTGCCCTTATGTTCTATTCTCTATCCCCAATGACTTCAAGTGAATCTAGGGTTATACACTAACAGCCAAATCAGCCCTAGGATAGCAAAGAGAGGCAGAAATAGCAAATTAAGTCACATCCTGGTTGCAGTGAATGTCATAAAAACTGACGACACCGCAAGAGAAAACATGCAACAGTGGTCAAAAGGCCAGCAGACCTGCTCTCCATCACTTCTAAGGATGCCATGGTTCATGGCTCACTGCTGCTTTCTTTCACTTGCTGTATAATAGGAACAGTGGTCCTTTGGGTCCATGTTATGGCAGCTAGGATTTTCTTTTTGCATTCACAAGCCAGCAGTGCTATTGAGCCTCAGCCTTAATATACACAATACTTCCTTTTTATCCTAAAATAAAATTCATAGGCTGGGCATGCGGCTCACACCTGTAATCCTAGCACTTTGGGAGGCTGAATCAGGAGAACTGCTTGTGCCCAGGGGTTCATGATCAGCTAAGCAACATGGTGAAACATCATCTCTGCAAAAAAAAACAAAAAAAAAGGACAAAAATTAGCCAGGCATGGTGGCATGTGCCTGTAGTCCCATCTACTTGGGAGGCTGATGTAGGAGGACCACTTGAGCCCAAGAGGTGGAGGCTGCAGTGAACTGTGATGGAGCCAGCTGCACTCCAGCCTGGACGACAGAAGCAGACCCTGTCTCAAAAAAAAATTATATATAGCCCACTAACATAACAGGGTTTTTATTTTTGAGATGGAGTTTTGCTCTTGTTGCCCAGGCTGGAGTGCAATGGCACGATCTCAGCTCACTGCAACCTCCACCTCCTGGGTTCAGGCAATTCTCCTCCCCCAGCCTCCTGCATAGCTGGGATTACAGGCACACGCCACCATGCCCAGCTAATTTTTTGTATTTTTAGTAGAGACGGGGTTTCACCATGTTGACCAGGTTGGTCTCTATCTCTTGACCTTGTGATCCACCCGCCTCGGCCTCCCAAAGTACTGGGATTACAGGCTTGAGCCACCACGCCCGGCCAACAGGGTTTTTTTTTTTTAAGTAATTTAATGCCCACACTATAAATATATATAGAAGCGATAAAATATAGAGGAGCAATTAGAAGACGGTAATTTTTACATACATGTGTTTCAATTTGTAAATGCTCAGGCACAACCATGTGGGGAAACACAATGCAGTCATCAATTATATGCAGTTAGAACACACATTTGGACTTAAGAAAAGTAAGATGATCTGAAGTCATTTCAAACAAGACATATAGGAAAAACCAAAACACAGGTTAGCACTAAATACAAATAAGCATTACATTAAGTACTAGCTGATAGGACTTTGGTTCATAACTGACATTCTGCATGAAGGTCAGCGGGATATGTGCAAGTCATGTTAAATGCAGAACATCATTGCTGGATGCCTGTCCTTCCTAGACTCTGTCCACTTAGTGCCAATCATGTCACTTCCAATCATTGCAACAACCAAAAGCTGTCCCCACCATTCATATGCACCTGACAGGCAGAAGCCTCCCCTTCTAAAACCACACAGGTAGGCCATGGGGGTGGGAGGGGATGGCCTCCCTTGTTAAACCAGAGCAGGGGTCTCCCAGACTTGAATGTGATGGAGGAAGATGAAGTGGGATGCTCCTTGGGCAATGCTCCCTCTTACCTGTGCCACCACCAGATTCTGTTCCTGGGACCAGCTGCTACCCATGCCCCAGTGTACCCTGACCCAAGGGGACACCTCGTCCTGCCCTTGGCCTCCCCAACAAAATGAGCTATGGAGTGAGCAGGAACTGAAAGCTGAGCCTGGAAGCTTTGCTGGGCCCAGGCTTCTCCACATCTCTAGGTTCATTTCCCTTTACTTCTCTGTCCAGTGTCCCTTGGGCTTCTGTGTGGTCCTAAGGGAGCTAGAACCCCCCAACCCTACTGTTCCTATGGCGAGGCCAGCCACCATGCCATTAGCCAGGACTCGCCAGTGTGTGGTTCATGTGGTTCAGGCAAACTCAGGAAACAGTTACAACAGGATGTGGGAAAATTTAGGGTTCAGCAGTAGCAGGTGAGGATGAAAGTGTTCATTTGCATATCATTCATCAGTGATGCCCTGGGGGATGGCCTCTCTCTCCCCAGCCTCCCCCAATTAGGCCTGTTAAGTCCACATCCTGGTGAGAGGATTTGCGGATCAAGAGAGGGCACCAACTGGCCCTCTGAGGGGCTGCCTCCTGAGGCAGGTCACTCCCTGCTGTAGCAATGTCCTTCTGAGTATGGAGCAGGCATCATGAGATGATGGAGGGTGTCTGGCTACCCACAACCAGATGCACAGCAACCTGCATAGCCCAGCACCACCTCTCCAAAGCTGTCTCAGCATTAGGTCTGCAGGGCATTCCCTCTGCCACCACTCCCCCACCCAGCCTTACACCACCAAGTAGGAACTCCTGCCTGTGATGGGTGCACAGAGCATCAAGTTCACATCTTACTCAGTGGGCAGGTTCTAAGGCTAGCCTGTGATGTAAAAACTGTATCTATTCAAAAAAACTTTCTAAGTTTCTAACATAGACACCATGCTAGAGATTGGCATGCAGACTCTCAGTCCATCCAACACAGCTGATTTGTTCTCCAGCTGTGAAACAGATCTATTTCTTCAATTGGGATGTGCAGGAGGGGTATGCACTTGCAGAGCTGCCATCTTGTGAGGAAGCCCTTGCTGCATGGAGATGCCACATATATGTGCTCCACCTGACAGCCTCCCTATGTGGTCCCAACCACCAGCCACAATCGACCACCAAATATCTGAGTGAACCAGCTTTCAGATGATTTCAGGCTCCACTTTCAAGCAGCCCCAGGCATCAAATCTTCCAGGTGAGGCCCCAGACATGAGGGAGCAGAATAAATCATCCTCACTATGGCTGTGTGTGAATTTCGGACCCACAGAATGGGCAGTAACATATTGCACTTTATGCCTAAGTGCACTATTTATTGTGCATTAGGGCCAGATAATTTGTGTGTATCCTTAAACATTTTAGTAACACTCAGATCATCAAGAGGCTCCCACTAAAAGAAGCACACCAGAACTGAGACTGACAAAGGGAAAAGCAAAATCAAATCACATGCTTCATCGGAGCATTAACTTGGAGACCAGAGGCAAAGCCCCTGCCATTTCAATTATTTCTCTCATTTGTTCTACAGAAATATGTGTGGCTGAATTCTTGTAGGTTAAACATGTGAGTGATGGATTCCACCAGAGGGACTGCATAAGGAAGTGGAGCTTAATAAATGATAAGCTGCTTTTTCTGGAAGGACATACCAAGGTTTGTATATGATTGTCCAATGCAGTCAGTGGTGAGCACACTAGGAGAGCATCAGTTGTCCTCCTTGGCAAACATGAATGGCAGGCTCTGGGGACAGCTCTGCTATGTCACACAATGGTACAGCCACAGCAATACCGCTCAGGATAGTCCACCGCATACACCTGGTGGTCAGTGCCATAGATACAGTAGACTTAAGTCTTTCCTTGGAACCAGTAGTGAGGGGGATCATCAGCTCGATGGTCTGGCACTAAGGAAATAAATAGCCAAGAAAAATTTCAGTGTTCTGTTCAAGTCATTCACCTGCTCAAGAACTTCCAGTAGCTGGTACTATGGTTTGAATATCTGTCCTCTCCAAAACTTACATTGAAATTTAATCGATAATGTGGCAATGTTGAGAGATGAGGTCTTTAAGAAGTGTTTGTGTCATGGGCTAATTGAGTAATGGGTTAATGGAATAATGGGTTATCATGGGAGTGGTGGCTTTATAAGAAGAGGACAAGCATGCTCAGCCCCCTTGCATGTGATACCCTGGACTGCCCTGAGACTGGACTGCAGAGAGCCCACCAGCAATAAAGCTCTCACCAGGTGAGGTCCCTTGACCTTGGACTTCTCAGCTTCCACACTGTAATAAATGAACATCTTTTATTTATAAATTACCCATTTTTAGGTATTCTATTATAAGCAACAGAAACAGACTAAGACATGGTATATATAGACACACTATGGAAAAATATTCAACCTCAAAAAGAAAATCCTTCATTCACAACATGGGTGAAACTAGTGGACATTATATTACATGAAATAAGCCAGGCACAGAAAGACAAATATTACATGATCTCACTTACCTGTAGAATCTTTAAAAGTTGAACTCACAGAAGCAGAGAGTAGAATGGTAGTTACCAGATGCTGGTGGGGTGGGGGCATTAAAATCTTTTTAAAAAATGATTAGTTCCTTGACCAGGAGTATTAACATATGAAAATACAGATATTACCAAACATTAAAATATGATTTATAGAGTTGTTCCTATAAATATTAACTGTACACTGATTTTCTGTACTTCAAATCCTGTTATTTTATGTTACATTTATTCTTTAAATCTTATTATCTTACACATTAACCATATAGAAAACCTTTTCCAATGTAAAAGGTTAACTTTTCCTATCATATAAGGATAATACATCAGATAATGGGATTTAAAGTACAGAAAAGTCATATGGGCAGGGGCAGGGAAAATTTATTATATACCCAAGTACTAAGTCTTTACAAGTACTTGTTAAGTCTTGTTATCACTTTAGATCAACACCCCCAAAATTCCATAATTACTCCCCACCTCCCACCTGCATTTAAGAGGCAATAAAATCATACAGCTGGTAAGTGATGGCATTGGGATTTCACCTGAGACTCTCTTATTACAAAGCCATTCATGAAAATATAATTCCAAAATCTGAAAAAGTTTAATATTTTAACCATAAAAATATAAATGCTAACTGCAAGAAAAAGGGAAAGAAAACAAACAGTATAGAAGGTAGAAAATAAAATGTATTATGGGGAACGATCCAACATGGCCAATCGCTAACATCTCAGGATTGTAGCTCTCAGTGGACGTGTAGAGAACTAGAGGACGCCACACTTTCAGACAAATTCTGGTCGCTCACAGAGCAGAAGAACCCCAGTGGAGGAATCACACGGGTCGCCAGCGTGACTCTTGTGGCCAGCGCAGCGGTTTCGCCAGCACCTCAGTGCCGCAGCTCTCCGAGCAGAGTAAACAGGGCCGGCTCCCCTTCCTACCGAGGTTTGGAGGAGCCACACGGGTCCCCAGCATGAATCCTGAGGCCGGCGCAGTGGCTGTGACAGCACCTCGGTGCAGCAGCTCTCGGCACAAAGTAAACAACACTGATTCCCCTTCTGACAGAGGTTTGGAGCCCCGGGAAGGCAGAGGCGCCTATTATGGACACAAGAAGGAAGCCAGACAGGAGAATCCTGGGCAGAAAAGCACCATCAGTCTTAACGCTGCTGTTCTGGCCCTGGGAACTAACAACCTGGATGTCCACTCAAGAGACCTAATCTGAAAGTTGGTAATTTCAAAGACAACAAGAAGATAAATTTACAATGATGGGAAGAAACCAGCGTAAAAAGGCTGAGAATACTCAAAATCAGAACGCCTCTCCCTCTAAAGATGGTCACAGTTCCACATCAACAATGGAACAAGGCTTGATGGAGAACAAGCGCATCCCAATGACAGAATTGCTCTTCAAGAAATGCATAATAAGAAACTTCTGTGAGTTAAAAGTCCATGTTGTAGCCCAACGTAAAGAAACTGAGAACTTTGAAAAAAGGTTTGATGAAATCCTATTGAGAATAGACAACTTAGAGAGGAATATAAGTGAATTAATGGAACTGAAGAATACAATACAGGAACTCCAATAAGTATGCACAGGTTTAAACACTCAAATTGTTCAAGCAGAAGAAAGGATATCAGAGGTCAAAGTCCAACTTAATGAAATAAAATGAGAAGACAAGATTAGAGAAAAAAGGATAAAAAGGAATGAGCAAAGTCTCCAAGAAATGTGGGACTATGTGAAAAGACCAAATTTACGTTTGATAGGTGTACCTGAATGCGACAGAGAGAATGAATCCAAGCTGGAAAATACCCTTCAGGATATTATTCAGGAAAATTTTCCTAAACTCGCAAAGCAGGTCAATATTCAACCCCAGGTAATACAGAGAACACCACAAAGATATTCTTCAAGAAGAGCAACCCCAAGGCACATAATCATTAGATTTACCAGGGTTGAAACAAAGGAGAAAATACTAAGGGCAGCCAGAGAAAAAGGTCAGGTTACCCACAAAGGCAAGCCAATCAGACTTACAGCAGATCTCTCAGCAGAAACTCTACAAGCCAGAAGAGAGTGGGGGCCAATATTCAACATCCTCAAAGAACAGAACCTTCAGCCCAGAATTTCATATCCAGCCAAACTAAGCTTCACAACTGAAGGAAAAATAAAATCTTTTATGAACAAGCAAGTACTCAGAGATTTTATTACCCAGGCCTGCTTTACAAGAGCTTCTGAAAGAAGCATTACACACAGAAAGAAACAACCAGTATTAGCCCTTCTAAAAATATACCAAAAAGTAAAGAGCACCAACATAAAGAAGAATTTACATCAACGAAAGGATAAAACAGCCAGTTAACATCAAATGGCAGTAACCCTAAATATAAATCGACTAAATCCCCCAATCAAAAGACAGAGCCAAAACCCAACAGCATGTTACATCCAGACCTGTTTCACATGCAAGGATACACAAAGACTCAAAACAAAGGGATGGAGAAAGATTTACCAACCAAATGGAGAGCAAAAATAAATAAATAAATAAATAAAAAGCAGGAGTTGCAATTCTCGTATCGGATAAAATAGATTTTAAAGCAACAAAGATATAGTGGTAAAAGGATCAATGCAACAACAAGAGCTAACGATCCTAACACCCAGATACATAGAGACTTAGATTCAATGAGACAGAAAATTAATAAGGATATCAAGGGCTCGAACGCAGATATGAAACAAGTAAACTTAATAAATATTTATAGAGCTCTCCACTTCAAATACACAAAATATACATTCTTGTCAATACCACATCACATGTACTCATAGGTTTAAATGAAACATTGATTGGCCATTATTAATACCCATTTTTTTCGGAATAAAGCAATATTTCCGTTCACCCTCCCTCTTTCTCTTCCTCTTTCTTCCTCTCCTTTACTCATTTTTTTTCTTTCCTTCTCTCAAAAAAAAGGAAAGAAAAAAAAAGAAATCAACTTGTAAACCTCTAGATCCAGGTCGGCAATGTCTCTCTCATTGCTTGATTTCCTTCCTTCCCTTCCCTCCCTCCCCCCACTTCCTCCTTCCCTCCCTTCCTGCCTTCCTCCCTTCCTCCCAAAAAAATAAAATAAAATAAAATGCATCTACCACCTTCCCCACAAGCACACTCTGTAATCCCCTAAGTAACCTCTATTGAGCATTTACTGAGCATCTTTCAGGAAAAGACTGTTATATTAGATCACTTATAATAATTCTAAAATTTAGTACAAAATATTAAAGTTCCTAGGTTATTATTATGTTAGAAAAGAATTTAAAATCCAAATCGATGATTTCAAGCTGCAGAACTCCCAATTCCAAGAAGGTGACTTGGGTTGATGAAGTGGGTGCTGGGACCAGAACTAAGATCTCCCACCTCTTCCTTGTTCAGAGCAGCTCTGCTTTTCTGTATTTATGTACTATATTGGGCTTTGTGTAAGACCTTGCAGAAAATTTAAATCTACAGAAAGAACAGAAATGACAACATAAACAAATATGAACTCAGGAGATTACACTTTATGATTTTACATTCCATCTGTCATCCTTCCTTCATATTCTGCTTCTAAAAATCAATAGGTCCTCCATTTGCTCCCCTCCACAGCCCGATACCTCTATTCTAAACACACTGTAGAAGTTTATCTTAGCAATGATAGGTGGGCTGAGTGTGGTGGCTCACTCCAGTAATCCCAGCACTTTGGGAGGCCGAGGTGGGCAGATCACCTGAGGTCAGGAGTTCAATACCAGCCTGGTCAACATGGTGAAACCCCATCTCTACTAAAAATCCAAAAAAATAGCCAGGCCTGGTGGCACACACCTGTAATCCCAGCTACTTGGGAGGCTGAAGCAGGAGAATTGCTTGAACCTGGGAGGCAGAGGTTGCAGTGAGCCGTGATCACGCCACTGCACTCCAGCTTGGATAACAGAGTGAGACTGTTTTCAATACAAAAAAAAAAAATGATAGGTGATATGGGCAGAGTAAGAGGAATCAATCTGAAAACCCAGCACACAGCAAAGGCCACATTTACAGACAAACTGAGCACATGCAAATCATGGCTGAGAAATCTATCTACTATATAAAGTAAATCTGGAGATATTTTATATGTAAGACCTCTGATTTATACAAATTCTGTAAACTCAATTTCCTACATAGTGAGAATCAATAGCCAGATGATATTATCTACGAAAAGGCCCTTGTTTTGCAAAAGACAAAGTAGAAGGAAGAGAATAAGTTGAGCATTTCTACCTCAAATTGTTTGTGTGGAAGGAGTATACTCAATGTTAACATGTGAGTCGCTGAAGCTTTGTCATTAACCAGCTATGTGACCTTGCACAAGTGACTTAATTTCTTCTGGATCTGAATTTCCTAATAGTTAAAAAACAGATAGATATGAG